CTTCCTCCAAAATAATCTTTCCTGCCTCTACTCTACACAGACGCCGTCTTGTTGAATCGGCACTAATACACAATGTACCCAACATGAACTTGAGTCCTGGCTTTGTTGCTGTGAACTCTTCCCTGTCACAGTATATACTCAAATGCTCTTATCTTTCTAACAAATGTGACCTTACATAAGCTTACCCTTTCCATTTACTTTTCTTTCTCTTTGCTTTCTCTTTTCTCTCTTTTTTTCTGTTCATTGTCTTCTCCTACGTTCCCTCGCTTTCCTCTTATTATTTTCTCCTTCTCTTTCGGTGGTTATAATAGGAAGTGCCTTGTATGGGCCAATAGGCCCTCTGCAATTCCTACTACTAGTCCCTCTACTATACCTTACTTTGCTCCTCATCTCTCTCGTGCCTATTTATTGCCTGTCTCTACTTCCTCATCACAATCGACTTGAGAATGGTCCAGGATGGACCGAAACGTCGTCGTCCCTTCACATTCTAGTGTGTGGTCTTGTCATCGAACCCCTGGATTCATTGTCCCTATTTTCGGATGACCATGCTGTCCCAGGTTCTGCTCCTGTTGGAGCTGGGCACTTGGATGGTGTCCCTGGACCTCTGGGACGCTTATTGGCACGACCCGATTCATCCGGGGTTCAGGGACTGGCTCGGTTTTGTTGTAGGGCTTCGTGCTTACCGCTTTCGTTGTCTTCCATTTGGTTTGAACCTTGCATCTCGCATTTTCACGCAGGTCGTGGTGATCTGTCTGCATCTGTTAGGTGTTTAGGTGTTGGCCTATATCAACGACTGGCTGGTTTGGGCTGCCAGCCAGTCCACTTGTCTGTTAGCCAGGGATCTGGTTCTTTCTTAGCTTGCCGGGTTCGGGTTCTTGGTGAACTGGAGGAAGTCCCATCTGGTTCCCTCTCAGGTTCGGACCTGGCTGGGCCTTGTGTGGGACTCTCGGACCGCTTCCTTGTCTCTTCCTCCAGTCTCTCTCCTGCGGCTGCGGTCCTGCTTGTGCCTGTTTCTGGGGGGGGGGGGGGGGCTCCCGGGTCACCCGGTGGTTGCTCGAGGGTCTGTGCAGGAGCCTGAACTTAGCGATGCTGGTCTACCCGCCGGGACGGGTTTGGCTTCGTCGGCTGTTCTGGTTCCTTCGGGGACGTCCCTTCCACCTCTCGCAATCGCTGGGTTCGGACCCCGGGGGTTTTGCGTCGGTTGCTGCGTCACCAGCTTCCTCTTCGGGTTTTTCGGGGTTCAGTGCCGTGGTGCCTACCCGAGTCCTCGCTCGATGTGTTCACGGACACGTCGTCTCTCGGCTGGGGCTTTGTGACCGGTGTTCACCAGGCCGGTCAGAGTCAGTGGGGTCCGTCCTTCTGTCGAGCCCAAAGCACTGTGCGGGAGTTCACGGCGGTGTGGTTTGCTCTTCGGAGGATTCGAGTCGCCCGCGGGTCGACGATCCGGCTCCATTTGGACTGATCCCCCGTGGTTCATTGTCTGAACCGGAGGGGGGGTGGGGTGTCAATGCGGTCCTTGGCTCTTTGGCGCTGGTCGCTTCGGGTGACTCGTCTGCTGAGTTCTCGGGGTTTGGCTCTCCTGGCAGTTCACGTGCGGGATGTGTCCAACGTCTTGGCTGACGGCCTGACTCGTTTCGTTCCCCTCTCCACACAATGGACGGTCGGCGCCAACTCCTTCCGTTGGCTTTGCCAAACGTTTGGACGCCCCGAGGTGGACCTCTTTGCGTCGGCGTGGTCGAGGCGCCTTCTCCTGTCTGTGGCGCCCTTTCCCGACTGCGAGGCCATCGGGGTCGACGCCTTTCAGCAGGACTGGTCGAGGTGGGGGTTCCTGTACCTCTTTCCCCCGGTTCAGCTGTTGCTCCAGGTCCTGACTCGCTTAGAGACTTACTTACCAGGGGAGAGTAGTCCTCTTGGCCCCTTGGTGGCCGGCCCAGCCACGGTTTCAGGCGCTGCTTGCTCGGTGTCCGAACCTGGAGGTTTTTTCGTGGCTCTGCCTCTTCTAACAGATCGGCCCGGTACGTCACGTGGCTGGTTTAATTTTCTCCTCGAGTCTTCGCGTATGGTATTTTTGACTCGAGTTTATCATCAACTCTATGGTGATCAGGTGGCTTCCAGATTAGTGTCCCACCTGCGGGCTTCGTCTCGGCAGCAGTATGAAGTTTCCTTGGGGTCCTTTCGATTCTTCTTACGTCTTCATCGTTGTACTTCGCTTTCTGTTAGGGGGGGTGATGTCCTCTCTCTCTTGGTTGTTCCATGACCGTCTTATGCCTAACACTCGCCTCGTATCGTGCGGTGCTGGCGGAGCCGCTTCAGCTTGCTTTCGGTATTGATGTCACGTCTGCGCTGTTTCGCAAGCTGTCCCGGGCCTTGTTTCACCTCCGGCCTGCTCATGCGCCGCCTGAGCCGTCCTGGTCTTTGGACAGTGCTCTTTTCTCTTTCTTCTCCTCATTTTGTTGTGGCCCCTTCGGTTTCAGATTGCTTCTCGAACGATCTTTTCCTGTTGGCATTGGCCTCTGGGGGTCGGGTGGGTGAGCTTCATGCTCTCCTCCGGTGCATAGGTTTCTACACCTATGGTCGGGGTGATCGTTTTGTTCGTCTGCAGCCTTCTTCTTTTCTGACGAAGAATGAGACCACTGTGTTTCGGAGGGGCCCTTGGGTTGTTGATGCTTGGTTGGTTCGGCCGAGGGTGCATCATGTTTTGTGTCCGGTTGCGGCTCTCCGCCGTTATTTGCGCGCCACGGCTTCTTTGTCCGTGGACGCGCTTTGGGTTGATCCGGTTTCCTTTCATCCCTGTTCGAGGGTGCGGGTCTCCCAGGTCGTCCGCAGGGTTATTAAGGCTAACCAGCCTGCGGTCTATCCCCGTGCCCATGACGTCCGCAAGTTCACTGCTCTTGCCGCCATCTTTGGCAATATGTCCTGGGCTGACATTCAGGCGCGGGGATTTTAATGGTCGAACAGGGTCCTGGCTGCTCGTTACCTTGTAAACGTTCCTAGACTCGGTCGGGCCTGTGTCGCTTTGGGTCGGCAAATGCATCCAGTTGTCTCGGCTTCGGGTTGAGGAATGAGCAGCAACCGCCTCCCGGGTAAGTCCCTATTCTTTCCTCTGTGGGTAGTTAGCTCTGGGGAGCCATAGGGGATCCCCCCAGAAAACCATCGTTGAATGTAATGAATCGCCATTTTCTGGGCGAGTCTTGGAGGCTCCCCAGCATCCCTCCCTCCAGTCGGCATTTTTTTCACGTGTTTTTGACATCCAGCCTCAGAACTGGGGTGTGGATCGCCGGCACGGTAGGTCTGGGGCTGCCCCTTCCCTCTCCCGGGGAGGGGGCTGTGCAGACAGCGGAGCGACGACGAATGACGTCATACTAGTTTGCTCGTTTTTTGTTTGGGGAGTTCTATCCACTCGTTCGTCTTTTGGTTGCAATTTTCACCAGAATAGGGGTTTGTTTTGGGACGCTTACCTTTCTGGGTGCTTAACCCGGTCGATGGCAGACATAGAATGCTTCCAATTACAAGTGGGTTTCTATAGGCCATTGCTTCCCTTGCCTCTCTAGAGGGGGCCAGGTTCTGGCTCGTGGTCCCTGGTAGGCCCATAAGAACTCCATACACATGACTGATGCCAAAGTCTGACATTAACATATCGGCTTAGTAAGCTCCGGGGAGCCTCTGGGACTCACCCAGAAAATGGCGTTTCATTACATTCAACACTGTTTTTTTCTTTATTTTCTTTATGATTTACTGTTACACTTTGCATTCTGTTTGACAGAAAATTTAATATCCATTGCCCTACTTTACCTGTTATTTCTATTGACCTCATTTTATAGCCTACCACTCTATGGTTACATGTATCAAATGCCTTTGCAAAGTCTGTGTATACCACATCTGCATTCTGTTTTTCTTCTACTACATCAAGTGATTTTGTCACAGTGGTCAAGTAACTGCAAAAGGCACAATCTTCCCACTGTGAAGCCATGGTGGCCTGGGATGTAGCGGTCATGTGTCTCCATGAAACAGAAGATCCGACTCCTGATAATTTTTTTTTTTTAGAGCCCTGGCGACTCCCTGATTCACTATCGTCCCTCCAACATCATCGGTGGTTTGTTCATCAGCTCCAGAACCGATCAGGAGAGCCAGCTGTGAGCCGAGGCCAGACTGGGTGGTGGCAGCCAGGTGTGTAAATCTATTGTTTGTTTGAAATGTCTGTCAAGTTAATTTGCTGTATGCCCTCCTATTGTCTGTAAATCTTTGGTGATTTTCTGGATGTTTTCCACATGAGACAGTGAACTGTCACTCGTTCACTGCGCCTTTGTGAGGAAGGGGGGGATGGCCAGGTTCTGGCTCTGGGACCCAGCAGCCCAAAAAGAAAACTGATTGATGTGACCCAATAGCCAGAGAAATCTCTGGCAAAATAGGACCTGAGTGGCTCCTTGAAGCTATCAGAGAGAGGCATTTCATTACCTTCAACAGTTGGTTTTTGAGAGTAGCAGCTGATGCATGTGTAATGGGAATTGGGATGAGGAAATATATGTAAGATGTGGTGTAAGTAAAAAGAGATAGGGAAATGTGGACTACATGAAATGCAAAACACTTAGACATGCTAATAGGATGAATTATTTACTGATAATTGTGTGTACGGGTAAAATTAGGGGATCATAGGAACAATGGAATAATACATGAAAGAAGGGTAGTGGGAGAGAACACTGAGCACGAAAAAATGAATGATTAGTGCAGCGATATCCACCACCCTTCAAAATATTTTGCAATCATCAGCACCTAATAGTAAGTTTCCGGGAGAAAACAAGATGTCAGACGGGTTAAAAACATTACTTGCTGTACTGTAGAACTGGATTTGGATAAGGAGCAGCTTGATAAATAAAACATTCTATATAAGACTGGGCACTAAAACCATACCGGAAAATTCTATATCATACCCATGAAAAAGTAATTTTTTGTATTAATTTCAACTGCAATATCACAAAAACATAATAGCATATTCAACTTACACAGGGTCCATGAGTTAGAACCAAGAGGTAAGCAGGATCACCATCATCATCATTACTACTTCCCTGCTCGTCTGGGATGTAAGGACACCATATGACACGATGATTGTCGCTCACCTTATCTGTACCACTACTCACTTCTAACAACATTTCTGTGCTGTGAAGAAAACAAGTGTGTGAACTCGGCTAGGAATGATTCTCGTTTGCAGCAGCGCTTTGAAAAGCGTTTTCTGTCCAGTATACATACTGTACAGGTATATGCAAATGCACACATTTACAAAAAGGAAAAAAATATTTGACTATTAATAGCAAACCAAAATATTAATGTCTTCAGTAAGCTCTAGGACACATTGTATCTGATTATTCCTATTAACACTTTCATATTCCTTATGGGGGTGTATCCTCTGTGTTATCTAACGGATTCACCCTTTTTGGTTGCTCACACAGTGAAAACATATAGTTTATACCCATTCAATGTTAACAAAAGCATATCAAATTACTGAACTTTGAAAGCAAAATATTTGCAGATAAATATTATTTAGCATAATACTCAACACGATACCCAATGTTGGGTGTGCAAGATGTTGAGTTAACTGCTGCTATTGTCAATTTTTTTTATATGTAAATGTGTGCAAACTATCAATTTATAAAGTTGCAGAAAAAATAATTACCTACCGTTTATGCAGGCATGTAAGTCAACCCAGTACATAAGTCGAGTCCAAAAATTTAAAAGTGTAATTCAGGTTTAGGCCTATATTCGCCACATAAGACGACCCCCCAAAATAAGGTAGCACCACTTCCCCCGTCTTACTGTATGGAAGGAATAAACTACTGTATCTTATAAATATACTGTAGCTTAACGAATATTTACTGCATAAGGCTTCCTTATTGAGATATTTCTCTCTCGGTGGTAAAGGTTCACATTTTATGTTCGGCAAACAAGTCGACCCCTGGTTTTGGAGATATTTTTTTAGGCTTCAAATGTCAACTTTATATGCTTGCATATATGGTAAATAATATTTATTCAATTAATGTTGAAAGAAGAATTACTTATTTTCATTGCTGTCAACTGTAGGCAATGCAATATGTAGAAGGTATGTCTTTTCTGTTTGCAAAGCAATTTATAGGCAAATGTCAGTCAGCCACGTGCTTTACGAACACCTTTATTCTGAAAATGCCTGTTATATGATTGGCGATTGTTCAGATAAATTTCAGATGACTGGTGGGGCAGGCAGTATGAATAAAAATTTGTCATAAAGATGGAACTAGTTTACCCAGTGATGTACACAGTGCCACTTGAGCAGTGTTCATTCATTAATGGATGGCTCAGAAGATTTAAACTCTGCCATGACATTAAGGACATTAGAGTACATGGTAAATGACAGTCTGTTGAGATTACCACAACCATTAACTTCCACTTCAGTCAACTCAACACCATCATCATCCACCACCACCTTTTATATCTAAATAACAATGTTCCATCAACTAGTTTTCAAGTTAACAAGTGGATCAGAACTTTTCATATTGGTGAGAACAAAACACAACACTGTTGAATTTCTGCAACAAAATTGTTCATTTTTTTGCCCCCTAGCTTTACAGGACGACAAACCACTTATCCAAAAGCAAGAGGTCATCCATTCAGTCTCTGTCACGAAGGGTCCGGAAAGCATGTGACTGGCTATTTGAATAATTCTGCAAAATTATGATGCATAAATAATGATCAGAGAAAAGACGTGAAAATTTACACTTGGTCAATGGCTTGTAAGTTATTTGTGAAAGACCCACATCATCATCATACAAATATAAGTGTTAACTTGTACTGATTTTATTGCATATGACATTGGAAAATAACACTGAAATTCCTCTTGGAATTTACCAAAATGACTATAAACACCAAAGTAATATGACTAACTTTAGGGTTCCTTCTGCTGTCGAGTCAGTAACCTCACAAACATACAGCGTCCCATATTGATCTGTAAATGCCAAGATAACTCTGTTGGCAAGATGAGCGAAGGCTAAGTCCCGCAGCATTCCTTCGATATTCTTCACCAATCCTCTGTTACCAGATTTACAGTGAATGATACGCACCATTCCACTGGATTTCTGGGGGGCTGAAATATATAAATATATTACAAGATACACTTATACATCCCTCAAAAATGCATATTTTCAGACGAGAACAATTGCACTAAGTTAATGTTCACAATATTGATTCCTAACCAATATTCTATGGCCAAGAATCAGTGAAGGAATACGTTGGGAAAGGGATTGTCTCAATTAACCACACTGTTGCCCTGCTATTAAATATGACAATCCTTTCCCCCCGGTAAGCAGAAAAAAAATTTCCCTATACATTATGCACACATTACATATACAACTCAACATTGTTGTCACCATAAAGAACACTAAGATGGTCTTTTCCGAGTTTATAGGCTCATAACCACGATCCAAAGTCAGCCTAGTACCCGGTGGCTTAGTGTGGGGGGGAGGGATGAACAAATATATTTGTACATAATTATTTCAATGTCTAAATTTGTTTTTATCTATCTTTTTCCAGTAATATTATTCAATAGTGTGTAATTTGAGGTATTTATATAGTAATATGTGTGAAACATGGCTATACTAAAAAACCAGCATTGAATGTAATGAAACGCCATTTTCTGAGCGAGTCCCGGAGGCTTCCCGGAGCTTTCTAGGCTGATATGCTAATGTCAGACTTTGGCATCAGTCATGTGTATGGAGTTCTATAGGCCTACCGGGGACCACGAGCCAGAACCTGGCCCCATCAGAAGAGGCAAGGGGAGCAATGGCCTATAGAAACCCCCCGTGTGGTTGGAAGCCTTCTATGTCTGCCATCGACCAGGTTAGGCACCCAGAAAGATAAGCGTCCCAAAACAAACCCCTATTCTGGTTAAAATTGCTATCACAAGCCGAAGAAGTGGATAGAACTCCCTTAAAATAAACGAGCAAACAATCATGACGTCACACATCGCCACGCCGCTGTCTGTGCAGCTCCCCCCGCCCCAGGAGGGGGGAAGGGGGAGCCCCAGACCCATCGTGCCGGGTATCCACCCCCAGTTCTGAGGCTGAATGTCAAAAAATGGGGAAAAAACGCCGACCGGAGAGAGGGAGGCATGCCAGGGAGCCTCCAGGACTCACCCAGAAAATGGGGTTTCATTACATTCAACGCTGGTCTTGTGGGGGTAAGCCCCTTCGGCTCCCCGGAGCTAACTCCCCACAGAGGAAAGTAAAGGGACCAACCCGGGACGCGGTTGCCGCTCACTCCTCACCTCTAAGTCACGACAAACGGCTGCAACTGCTGATCCAAAGTGACACAGGCCCGTCGAGGCCCAGGAACGCACACAAGATAACGAGCAGCCTGGACCCTGCTCGACCACCAAAAAGCCCCGGACCCGAATGACAGCTCAGGACATGTTGCCAAAAACAGCGGCAAGAGCCGCGAACTTGCGAACATGGACACGGGGAGAGACCGCAGGCTGGCTAGCCGTAATAATCCTGCGGACGACCCGGGAGCCCAGCACCCCCAAAACAGGGTAGGAGGGAAACCAGATCAACCCAAAGCCGGACACATAAGCCGTGGTGTGCAATGAACGGTGGAGGGCCGACACTTGACACCAAACTGGATGCACCCCCGGCCAAAACAACCAAGCATCAACAACCCAAGGACCCTACCAGAAAGCAGCCGTCTCATTCCCCACCAAAAAGAAGGAGACTGCCGCAACGAACAACCCCATCGCCATGACCGAAGAAGCAGAAAACTCCTCTGTCGGAGGAGAGGAGGAAGCTCACCATCCCGACCTCCAGAGGCCAAGGCCAACAGAAAAAGAACCTAGGAGAAACAAACCAGAACCGAAGGGGCCACAACAAACCGAGGAGAAGATAAGAGCACTGTCCAATGACCAGGACCGCTCAGGCGGCGCATGAGCAGGCCGGAGGTAAAACAACACCTGAGGCAGCATGCTAAACGGACCAGAAGGAACCTCAACTCCAAAAACAAGCTGAAGCGGCTCCGCCAGCACCGCACGATACGAGGCAACAGTATGTGGCAAATGACAGCCCCGAACCCCCAAAAGAGAAAGACAAGACCAAACCAACCAAACACAGAACTGAAGAAGAGACAGAAGGAAAAAGAAGGGACTGCCAAAAACCCACACACTGCCACCAAGAAGAAGAATGCAGGTGGGACACCATCAACAAAGCCACCAGGCCAACAGAAAGTGAGAGACCCAAGGTGGAGCCGAACCAGCCCTACCATGGACCAAACGAGCCGAGAAGAGGCGGAGCCGCAGGAAGATCTCAGGTGCGACCACCAAGCAGGAAGAGCTGGAAAACCGAGCCGGCAAAGAGGGAGGTGGAACGTCTGCTGGACAAAAAGTCCCAACACCAGCGAGCACGCCAGGTCTGAGACCACAGCCCCGACTGAGTCCCTAGGAAAAGGAACCCGCGAGACACAGAAAAAGCCAACAGGCAGGGAAAGCCAGGAACCAGAAAACCAAACCTGGCAATCGGAGCTAAAAGGCACAGCAACAACTGCCAATGAACACTGTATGAACATCAGAGGTCCGCGGTTGTTCAACGTCCTACCAGCAAGCATCAGAAATAATGCCAGAACAACCGTGGACATCTTCAAGAGGAAACTAGATTGTTTTCTTCAAGGAGTGCCGGACCAACCGGGCTGTGATGGGTATGTGGGCCTGCAGGCCGCTCCAAGCAACAGCCTGGTGGACCAAGCTCTCACAAGTCAAGTCTGGCCCTGGGCCGGGCTTGGGGAGTAGAACTCCCAGAACCCCATCAACCAGGTATCAACCAGGTAATGCAACCATGGACATCCACAAGAAAAAACTATAAAGCCGTCTCCAAGGAGTGCAGGCCCAACCGGGCTGTGGTGGGTACGCATGCCCACGGGCCGCATCAAGCAACAGTCCGATGGACCAATTCCCACAAGCCAAGCCCAACCACAGGCCGGGCTTGGGGAGAAGAACTCCCAAAACCTCATCAAGCAGATGACGGGAAGGAAGCTGCACGACACTGGGAGACAGAAGAACCAGAGGGGACAACACTACCACAAGCAAGACCCCTCAGAGGAAGGAGAGGGTAGATAAAGATGTCCCAGGGGACACAGGAGGAACGGATGCCCAAAGAGCAGGAGAGACCACAAAGGACTAGCATCAAGAGGAGGAGGCAAATGGAAAGCAGGAGGAAGGGACGAGCTGTAGGCCAACCCCCACACAGCATTAAGTGGAGAGACGACAGAGCCCAACAGGCTCAGGAAGCCGCACAGAAGTCGAACGACAGGCGAGAGGAGAGACCAAAAAACCACCGAACACAACTCCCGTCAACACAACGAGGCGAGCACAACAAGGTAAGCCCAGAAGCCACGCATATGGCAGGTGAGCAACAGAGGAGCAGGACAAAAGAGCAAAAAGCACAACCCCTCAAGCACAAGGTGAGGACAACCAGGGGAGTACAGAGAAGCCAACGACCTGGAAGGGTCAAGCCAGGTACTGCACGGCAGGCAAGGAATGAGCGACCCAGAGAAGACAAGCTGAACAATTAGCACAGACAAACACACAACAGGAGGAAAACACGCAAGGGCCAAACAAAATGCCACAACCAAACCCCAACACTCACCCTCGGTAACAAAACCGGATCAAAATGGCACCACATAACATCCAGACACAGGAAAACCGTACCTCATAACAGCCACCTCCACCATCATACCACGTCACCCATGAAGGTGGGGCCCCCTGGGACTAACTCAAGCATGGGTTGGACATGCATACGAGTGGGACTGGATGGGTACAATGAGGAGCTGACCCGCATGGGCCAAGAGACCCCCTGCAGGCACCTGTGTCCTGCCGTTCCCATATTCGCACGCCAAAAACCAAGGATCGACGCCTGGCTGATAGACGCCAGATAGCATAAACTCGCCTGCAGAACGGAGGCACGAACGTGTCACGACACAACGTAGCCGAGAAGATGCCGGGAGCACCACCAGGGAAAGAAGCCCCAAGCCACACACGCAGAAGGGGAGGGGAGAGGCGAAAAAGGCGCCCCACACCCATAGCACGGGGAAAACCCCAGCGTCCTCCCGGATACGACAAACTCCCACGGCGCACGCGCACAACCCGCTTGGCGGGAAGGCGCCCAAAAGGACCACTGTACAAGTAGCCCAAATAGCCCGTGACCCAAGGGACAGGCGCAGGGGCAGAAACAGCCCAGCCGACAGGAACAGGAGCAAAAACAGGAAGCAGCGACATACATATATGTGGTGAATGTAAGGAAGACAAGGAACGAACCAGCAACCCAATTGGGCTACAAGTAGCCCAAACTGGCACCCCGGATAAGGAGAATGTAAAGAAAACAGTGCCGAGACCAAGGACGAAGAAAAACACAGGAACAAAAGACAGAGAGGACCGAAAGCCCAGAATAAACCCCTGAAGGGGACCAACAAGCACTGAAAAGACCGGAGGGAAGCCACACCGAAAGACGCCAGATGTTCCAACAATACGGGAAGTAGGGAAAACCTTCCCAAACCTTCGAGAACACCCATGAAGGATCATAAAAGCACAGTCGCACCAGAGACCAAAGTCATGCAGAACCCCCAAAAAAGAAAAGGGAACATGTCAGGGAAGTCCAGTCCCAAGAAGAAGGGTGAAAAACTGCAAAGAGCACCCATGAACAGGACGGAACCAACGGACTCAAGGAACAAAGAACCGAGCCCGGGGAAGGGCCGACGCCCAACTAGTCATACGAGGAGTGGGGAAGGAAAAAACCTCACTCCCCGGAACCAACGGACTCAAGGAACAAAGAACCGAGCCCGGGGAAGGGCCGACGCCCAACTAGTCATACGAGGAGTGGGGAAGGAAAAAACCTCGCTCCCCGTAACCGCAAGCCCCGCTCGAAGGGCAGAACAACCCCAGCGGGGACCAACGGGGCCTGGGCCTCCCAGGCAGCCCCTCCCCAGCCCCGGGAACCCCCACGTCAGGCCCCGGGGCCGAGCCATCCCCCCAAAGCCCCGGCCTCAAGAAAAACTGGGGCAGCCGCGAAAAATACCAAGGAAGGGAGCCCACTGGCAAACTCAAACAAC